TGAATGTGATGTTCTGATGTTAGGGGATTTAAAGGCTGTCTAGTTTTCTTGGCCTGATGGATGCTATTTCACTGAGGCCGTGTAGCAGATGTGTAAGAAGGCCTTCTGGAGCCCTGCGGCTGACTGCTGGCTGACCTTGTACGAGCTGTGTGTGACGTTTTCCGTTGTAGTGCCCTCATTGTGGCTCTGGGATGACAGCAGTCCCCACCTCATGAGTGAAGATCACATGAGCTCTTGGGACAGTTAGCCCAACTGTAGCAGCCCCTCTACTAATTTGTTTTTATTTTTGTTTGTTTTTAACAAGCTAAAGAAAAATCCATTGCTTATATTTTCTTCTCCTTAACTTGACCGTTTAGTTTGCTGCAGTAAATTATTTTATCATAAGCAATTCATTATCCTAAGAAAAATCTCTTATTAATGTGCCTACTAAGAAGTTTCAGAATTCTAATGCACTAGTAATGTTACCATGATTGTATTTAAGCTCTGACAACTCTATGTTCTATGTGATTTTTAAGTATATTTTATGTCTCAGTAATGTCAGGAGGGTGGCATCATTTTATAGAAACAAGAAAAATGTTTCTAAAAGGCTTTTCCAAGTTAAGACAGTTCCTTAGGGAGGGCCTAGGCATTTCTAGGAGCTGCTGGGCACTTATTTGTTGAGGTTCTGTGCTGTGAGGTCATCACATAATTGCGATAATTGCCTGCTGGTGAGACAGTTTGGTACTTGTGCAGTTGCTCGTCATGACTTCTTGGTTCTTGCATATGGTGCTCTTTGAAAGCCTTGACCTCTGTTCCTCCCAACATGAGATCAGTCTAGAGCCAATGTTTTCTACCCTGGCCCTCTTCTACTCCTGTCAGTTCCCTGGTTTCCTTCCTTGCCCCTCAGGAGACAGAGGCAGGGAATTTTAGTTGAACTGCTTCTCCGTCTTGTTACCGTAGTATAATAACTCCCAAAACACACGAAGAAATAACAGAGCAAAGATGGCTACCAGAGCTTCTGAACTCTTCGTAGATCGTCTTGTTCCTAGGTGGCCTAGATGTAAAATATCTCTGGGCTGAAGAACAGAGATGAAGTCTCTTAACTCTCAGAAACTTTGATGTGAAAAAATGGTTACATTGAGGAGAGGGATGACTAGGGATGACTCAAGAAGCCTCAGTTTAATTTTTTTTCATGTTATTTTTCTGCTGAACATAGAGGAAAACAGTCCTCTCGGCCACTCCCACATTCATACACAAAAGACAAGTACTGGGTTGGGTGCTGAGGTACATTCTTCCTTTGTCGAATCCAGTACAACTCAGAGTACAGGGCTGCCTTTGCTGCTTTATCTGTAGGTGCAAACACCCCTGACAGTGGCGCTTACCCGTTGCAGCAGCTTTATCACTGCTGGGGTGACGGAAAACAGGTCCAGAGCTGATCACAATTAATGAGTGTCAGTATTTCTCTTTTCCCACCCACTGTTGCTTTGATGGGTCTTATCGTTTGTATTTCTTTTATTATTACTGAGCGGCAGGGAGGACAACGAGTAAGAGTTGATGCTATGCTTCCAGGATATATGGAGCATCAGCAGTGTATTTAAATGTCACTCTGAGTTGTGTTTCATGAGCTGCTCGACACTTGTTCCTTGAGCTGTGCTTATCACTGCTTCTATAAGTGTAGATTTTGTCTTCTGCAACTACGCTATGTTAGGTAAGCAAAGATGAAGTGGCCCTTTGTTTATTTGCCCAGTCCCCCTTTCCACCTCCATTATGATTAAAGATACATCAGTGGTGCAGGGGGTGGGGGTGTCTTGTTCACTCTGCCCAGCATCTTCAGTGGGTTGCTTTGCAAAGATAGTTGGCCGTTTCTTACATCAGGTAGTTTCAGAAGAGGAACACCCTTAATTAAGATGCCATTCCTGGCGTATGATCTCAATTTCCTGATACAATTTAAATTTGTTCCATTTTGTCCCCTCCTTCGTGGATGCTAAAATGCCTTATTCTTTCTATCAAATATTTGTTGAAGAACTGATTTGCATAGCAGTGTTATCCATTTTTATGGCCACTTCTAAACTACAGAAAATACTAGTAAGAACACCAAGAAGAAAAGCTCTGGAGGGGAAGGGGGCAGGATGGATTATGGTGAAATACCTTGGGAATTCTAGGCTAAGGGAATGTCAACAGGCCCTTTATTGCATAGTTCCTTGAGATATACTATGGAGCCCAAGGAGAGCGGAGACGTGAGCATTTCCCAATCTTGTTTGACCACAGAATCCTTTTGCCCTGAGCAAAGACTGAATCTTCTAACATCCTAGGATATGCAGTTTGGGAAGTGCTTAACCACGTGGTAGAAGCTAAAAGAGCTAAAATCATAGCTATGGGATTTGTTGATCTTTCTTAGCATCACTTTGCAGCCAATAGGGGGACGTATTTTTCTGCTGCCTTTACCTCTTGATGAGATAGAAACAGTAGAGTTTGAACGGGAGGGAAGCCAGGAGTGAGGACATTGGGGGATCCAGGTGCCCTGGTCAGAGTTCACCACCAAGGCACCCAAATCGGATGCCTTAAAAAGTAGTGGTTAAACAAATAAGCAAACAAACAAAAAACAGAGTTCTCCTGAAAAAGCCACTAAGTGTCTGGAAGTTGGTACTAAGGAATTGCTATCTTCTTTTCAGTTCTTGGGGATGCCTAAATTGATGCTTTCAGCTCTATAGGGAAGTGGCTGGTGGGACAGAGGGTGGGGGACAACAGAATATACAGGGAAAGTCTTCATCAGGAGAGACCAGCCTTTTGTAAATGGCACTAAACCCCACAATAGATGCTATTTTTAAAAAACAAAAATAAGTAAAACTTCTATTAAGTCCAGAAGAAAGAAGCAAATGAGAAAAAGCAAGTTGCTTTCTTTTTAAAAAAAGAAAGTTTCCAGAGCCTGTGCCGTGGCTTCCAAGTATATAGGAAATTTTAGCTCACCCTTGTGGGTTCTGTGGTCAGAGGCTTGTGGGCACATGTCTCTACCCTGTTAAATGTTCAGTGTGGCCAGTCCCTAGACAGGCCCATTCACACACCAGTCAGTGTTGATCAGCATTTAAAGTTCATTTTATGGTGATGGATAAAATCTAGACTATTTTTGTGGTGAACACAATGCAACCTATACAAAAACTGAAATTTAATAATGTACACCTGAAATTTACACAATGTTAAAAGCCAATATGACCTCAATTAAAAAAAAAATTCATTCTTGCCCACTGGTTTGTCCCATGGAACACTGAACTACGTGGGACATAGCCAGCCACAGTGTTCCTCCAATACAAGGGAAGGAGGCCCGTGAAATGTCGGATTGGCACCAAAGACAGATGCCAGGTTTACTTGAATCTGCAAAACTTTGGCCAAGAATATGCCAGATTTATTTAACTACCTCCTGAAATCTTTTTCCTGGGCTAAGGCAAGGAAAAAATATTTCAAATAGAGTTATACAAGTATATAGAGGTATGAGATATTTGAGGTATAGCTTCTGATGCTCTGATTATATGTTAAGTGGGTTATCAAAAATCGGTTTCCTTATTCGATATGCAGTATCTATCGAATAAGGAAACCAATTCTTGAGTGTATATATGTGTGTATGTGTGTATATGTGTGTGTGTATACCAAGTATATATTTAAAACTCAGGTGTATATGCCTCTGGCCAGGGGAGAAACTGAGTTACAATAGAAAAATTATCTAAAAGAGGCCAGGCCAGGCCTTGGCTCCCTAATCCTGAGCCCTTTTGTCCTTGGCCGAATAGTTTTGGTGGAACTGCCCCAGGTGTGCAGTTGCTGCCCTCTGCCTTGATCCAGCTGCAGAATAAGCACCTGCCACCACATGGCAAAATTATATGTCCTCCAAGTATCTAATTTGTTATTCAAAACTGCTAGCAATGAAGCACTTATTTTGAATAACCTGCTAACCTAAGCCTTGTCCAAGGCATTTAGCCATTTCTTAATCTCCTTTTTGTCCCGTGTGCTTTAATTTGAACAAGCCTTATTTATACTTTGTGTCATTTGCTTGCCATTTGGTCAAGAACACTATTGTATTATTACTGAATTCTGTTATATTGTCTATTGTAAATATTTTAAAGGTAGATGTAACTGCAAATAAGACTTCTCATTAAAACTCCAATAATAAGGCAGAATTTCAGGATCTGGGAACATAGGTCCCTAGCAGTTTCTAGAATTGTTAATTTTGGTAATTGACGATAGATTTAAGTAATGATGTTTATCCAACTAATGGATAAATCTGCAGCGTCTTGTTTTGATGTGGCTTCGTCCACATAATCTTACAGCAGATGACTGACGAGAACATCTCAGCCAGCTTGTCCTTATCATACAAAACAATATCTGACCTAGTTTACATATTGTTTTGTAACTATACGTTACACAGTATAGAACATATATTCTAGGTCAGAATTATATATATTCAGCCCTTGTGGCTGAAACTAACACATTGCTGCAGTAAACAGGAAGAATACCCATGGGATTCAAATGTGATTCCCCCAAGATTCAACCATAACGGGACCTTGGAAGGTTTGGGGGCTGATTGATCCTCCTTCTTACCAATGATAAAGCCTGCTTTGTGAATTTAAGCACATTTATATGAAAGATGTGTACCCAAGAATTTAAGTAGCAGAATTCTTTTTTTCGCAATCACCATTAGTAATCAAATTTACCACAAACTGGTAGACTTGAGACATCAGAAATTTATCTTTTCACAGTTCTGGAGGCTAGAAGTTTGAAATCAAGAAGTCAGTGGGGCCGTGCTCCCTCTGGAGGCTCTTGGGAAAGTCCTTCCTTGCCTTTCCTAGCTTCTGCTTGCTCCCAGCGGTCCTTAGCGTTCCTTGGCTTGTAGCTCTGTCACGCCAATCTGCCTCTGTCATCACCTGGCCTTTCTTCTCTTTGTCTCTATATGTCCTCTCCTCTTCTTATAAGGATACTAGTCATTGGATTTAGGGCCACCCCTAATCCAGAATGGTCTCGTCTCAGTCCTTAACTAATTACACATGCAAAGACCCTATTTATTAATAAGGTCAGATTCTGAGGTTCCAGGTAGACATGAATTTTGGAGGGCACTCTTCCGCCCACTACATCCTCTTAATTCTGCTTTATTTTCTTAGTACTCATTTCTTAATTAATCATTCTTCAGTGACTATTTTAAAGGTTATTAGGAACAAATTTTGTTAGGAATGCCCATCAGGCATATAAGTTGCTGTATTATATATCTGAACCACTAATTTTCTGATAAAAGAAAATGATGAAATTATTTTTTGCACTAAGATATTTCTTGGAAAGTCATCTTTTTTAGAAAAATTGAAAGCCTATCTACATATCTAGCATTGGGGAATAGTTTGGTACATAAACTCAATGGAACATTATCATTCACTAAAAATAATTTTCAGAACTATACAGATAAAACCTAATAATAAATTTAAAAAGCAGATGATATAATTTTAAGATAACCATATAAAATATATATTCATGTGGAAAAAATTACACAAGAATATACAAAAATGAAAACTTGTTTAGGATGGAAGGATTATAGATTATTTTATTCTTAATGTCTTGTTTTATTGGTTTTATATTTAGTTTTAAGTAATTAAAAAAGAATTATCTGGCAGCCGGCCCCGTGGCATAGTGGTTAAGTTCGGCGCGTTTTGCTTTGGTGGCCCAGGTTTGAGGGTTCAAATCCCGGGCACAGACGTACACCACTTGTCGGCCACACTGTGGCAGTGACCCACATATAAAGTAGAGGACAATTGGCACAGATGTTAGCTCAGAGCTAATCTTCCTCATCAAAAGAAAAAACGAATTATCTGTTATTCTTGCTGGAATAACTACCAGACTACACCTCAAAAATGCCATATACACTCTTCAGTACCCGAAACTGATTGTATATCATTAAAGATAAGCAAGTATTTATTTCCTAACAAGCCAGCCCTGTGGTTCATCCACTGAAATGTGCCAGTGGGAAGCCAGGCAAAGTATATCCATGTGGGAGTGTGCTGGAAGGCCACCACCGGGTAGGTCTTCTCCAAGGAAAGGCAGGAGAGTTCAGCGGGAACAGTTTAAGTTCACTTTTGCCTCAAAACAGTGTGGATGAGTGGAGGGAGGAGGCATTTGGGAGTCAGACTCAAATGGGTTAAAAGCCTGAGCCTGCCCAGTGAGTTTAGCACCACAACAAGTGGGCAGCCAGGCTTCTCTGCCTCCCTGTGACCCATATGAAGTCACAGCCCCTCCTGCGAAGTATTCTTATGAAAAAGAAAGTAAAGCCTTAGAGCTGAATGACACAATGAGGGAGCATGGAGATTCAGAATGTGGGACATTTTATAGGACATCTGATCTGCCTCCTCAACAAGTCTATGCATTATGAAAAATAAATAGTAGGAGGGACTATTCTAGATTAACATGCATTTAAGAGACATAATTATCAGAGACATAGTGCAGACTATGTATCTTAATTCAAACAAACTAACCGTAAATAGGGGGAATATTAAGATGGGCCATGTATTATATCATGGTAAGGAACTACTGCCACCAGTTTTGTTGGATGGCCATGTTGGTTCTGAAAGAAAATGCTCTTCTTATTTAGAGGCACATAGAGAAGTAATTAGAATGAAATGTTATGACGTCTGGAATTTGCCTTAAAATATTTCAGCAGAGAGAAGAGAGATAAAGAAGAAAAGAAGGATAGATAAAGGAAATGTAGCTAATTGTTTATGAGTGTTGGGTCTTCATCATCTGTGAATGGGGAGTTATTTTACTGTTCTCCCTACTTTTGTGTATGTTTGAAAATTTTCATACTAGGGAGTTAAAGATAGGTAAATATATTCCTAGAATGTTAACTTCCAAGAAATGATTGTGATTTTTCCGAAGAAAGATTTAAGGGCTAATTTGTCCGCATTCCCCATTATGGAGCAAAGAATTCTTAGGGACATGAGTGATAACTAGACTCAAACCTTCTCATATACCACTGGTAGGAGAAAGTAAATTGATGCAACTTCTGTGGAGGGTAGTTTGGCAATAACCCCAAAGGACAAACACCCTTACCCGTCATTCTAACCTCTAGGAGTTTATCCTGTGGACAGACGGAAAGGTATGCTATCAGATGTTCAAGGTCATTCACTACAACACTGGTTATTATAGCAAAGAACTGAAAGTAATCTAACAGTCTATCAATAAGGAACTGGTTAAAGAAATTATAGCAGTTGAGAAAATGGAATATTTAAGCAGCCCTTAAAAGTAATGTAGTAGATCTATGTTGCTGATATGGAAATGTTTCCAAGATATATGAAGTTAAAAAATAGGTGCAGAAAACTGTGAACCCATTTGGAGTTTTAAAAAATACAGATAAGGATACAAGAAATGGATAACAATATATTGGGTGTAGGATTGGCAGGAGAGGAGATTTTTACTTTTTGTTTTATGTATTTGAATGTTTATCATGTGCATATATTATTTTCTATTATCAAAAGAAAAAGAAAAAATTTAAACTGAGAAAAAATAGCTTAAGAATGTAATTAGGAAGCTGACTCTGCTGGAGAAAATTGATAAAAATACAATTTTTAAAACTTGTAAATTATGTACTGTTTTAAGGTAGCGAGACTAATTATTCCTTCTATAGTACTGGTAAATTATGAAAAATTATATGAAATTCTGTTTGAGAGTACTTGGAACTCTTCAAACGTTGTGATGTAAAAGATGAAATTTTACTACTTTTAAGTGCAAGTTATAGCTGGGAAAACACTGGAGAGATATTTCAGTTTATCTACCATGGAACCAAAACTGGCTTTAAACATGCCTTAGCCTTCTGATTCTAAAAATAAGACTTAGTGCTGGTGGCCTCTACTACGCTTCAAGTATTTTTTGCATTCATTATCTCATTGAATGCTCATAGGACCCCTTCAGAGTAGGTGTTATCAGTTTTAATTTTCAGATGAAGAAACTGAGGCAGGGGACATTAATCAGCTTGCTCAAAGTCAGACAAGTAAATAGTAAAGAACCAAAGGCAATTCACTTAGCTTGCCCTGCCACACTGTCTCCCTTATTTGGAGAAAAACTAAAGGGAAAATAGGAGAAAATCATCTGGCCGTTGATCCTTGCCTTTACTTAATTCTTGTTTTCTGCAACTAGCTGTGCTTTCTGAACCATGGCTTACATCCTAGGAAAAGGTACTTGACAGAAGGTATAATGGGGTTCTAGGATTATGAATAGTTTATTAGCTGAATTTTCTTGGATGTTTTCTGTGAAACAGAGAATTAACAGCTCAGCAATTTTTTTTTTTTCAGATATTGTGGATGCTTTATCAGATCCAAAGAAATTTCTTTCCATTACGGAAAAGAGAGCAGACCAAATGAGAGCTATGGGCATTGAAACTGTAAGTAGCGATGGTTGGCTAAAAACAGCTGATTTGGGGAAGTCTGGTTGTCAAACAGTGATTACAAGAGCCAGGCACAGTAATAAATTAATATAACAAGTTTAAAGATGGTTTTCAAAACTGAACTTATCACTTCAACAAAATAGTTTCAAGGGTCTGTGAAAGTATAGTATATTTAATAAAATGTGACCACCATCTGAAAAACCCACTTCATCACTAGTGGCTTAATTCACATCTGGGGACCCTGGACTCATTAGAAATGAAATGGAAAACATCTATGATGATTTTGGGAACATTTAAAATATAAGATGCTTTTGTGATACACTAAAATACCAGCTAACCCAATTCAGTGAATTAATGAAATTGGCATTTTTTATTGTTTCTTTATTTTTTTACCCATCTTACATCCAACCTTCTTCCATTTCAGTGCATTCTTGTGTTGTTTCTTTGTTTTTAAAGCTCCTTTTACCATACTCCTCAGTTTAGAGTGGAAGTAGCAGTCTTTCCAGTAGCTAGAAAAAGAAAAGGTATACCTTCAAAGAGTTGCATCTTCTTTCCTTGACTTCATCCTTTGCCTCTGGCCTGAGGGAACTCTATGATGTTTATTTCTGCAGGCAAAGATCCCTTAACAGAGTAGGAGTCCAGGAAGGGGAAGGGGAGAAGCTGAGTGGTACAGACTGAATTCAGTAAAATAGAGAAGATGCAAGGCATTCAACCTTGAAGTAGCACTCATTTGGGTTAATATAAACATTTCCGTTCCAGAGTGACATAGCCGATGTGCCCAGTGACACTTCTAAGAATGACAAGAAAGGAAAGGCCAACACTGCCAAAGCAAACGTGACCCCACAGAGCAGCTCTGAGCTCAGACCAACCACTACGGCCGCCCTGGGGTCTGGCATGGAAGCCAAGAAAGGTAAAACCAAAGAAAGTTTGGGCTCCTTATCTGTTCTGGCAGTTTTAGACTCTTTTTAAAGAAAGAGTCTTTGAAGAAGATATTTAGAATTGTTAATTTTGCCCATTTTCATTGCCCCATAAAACTCAAAAGCAGCATGTTTGCTTGTGGATTGGACAAACTGCTTCATTTCCAAGTGTTTAACAGAGAGTCACCATTTGTGTTTCATTTGCTAGATCTCCTGCACCTTAGTTACACCAGTACAATATCCATAGTTTTAGAAAATATTTAAATTCCGTGTCCTTTATGGAAAGAACTTCTACACAGTGAACTTTGCTAGCTCATCCCTACTCTCTTCCAGATACCGCCAGAGGCACTTATCTGGACAGGCAGTGGGCTCATGAACCCACAGAATCGTGATTGTTCAGACATTCCTAGATTCCCTTATTGATAATGTCCCCCCATCAGTAGATATTTATCATCCATGATTATCTATTTGCAAAATGATCAAGTGGGCATTTGAAGGCCAATTCTATGTGGTTACCTGTGGATGAAACCAAAGGTCATAAGAGGTGTCATCACAAAAAATTATGTGACCCATGTGCTAACATTCAGCCAGTTTGTAGGGGAACAGCTATCCTGGTTATTTAAACTTGACTTGCGTTCTAACTGGCCAGGCATCCATGCTGATTGGATGGCGCCCATCCCATGCTGGTAATTAAATATTTTAGATATCTTCCTTGACCATGAATCATTTACTAAACTCACTCTTCTTACTTGAGTAAGAATTTCTCTTTTTCCTAATG